CATTCCTTACAGAATCTTTAAGACTGATACCTGCTGTTATCCCCATTATTTTTTCTGTAAGATGTGAGTGTTGTATTAGGGATATTGATAGTTACTTCATATCTTAATGGCTATCATCAACAAAGTACTTTTCTTTTGATCAGTTAAATATAAATTTGGTGTCTCTGCGTGTTGCAGAATTTTACAGAGATATTTCTCTACTAGAATAATTATGGATAATTTGGGGTGACTTGATTTAATATATACTTTGTTTATTTCTCCATTTGGAGAGAAGGAGAGGCAGGACATACAACCCTGATGTGATTGATCAGGAAACTGTACATATGAATATGGATATATCAGCATCCTCTGGTGCAAATGACATGATTAACGGTTATAATATGCCTTAGAAATGATGAGCTTGGCTGGACAGTAACACCTTTTACAAATGAAGACAGCGGGCACTTTCCATGTCTGAACAAAGCTAGGGATCTCCTCTGAGATAAAACACCCACCCCTCCTATGTTAAAGAGGAAATCCTGTTTTACAACCTAAAGACCAATGTAAAGCTGAAAGGTGAAGAGAAATATATATACCTGAAGACAAGATATGAAAATAAGGAGAAATGTCCCCGTAGTGATAAATGTTCTGCCTGCTTTCTGACTTCAAAATCAGAAAGCATAGCTCTCCTCTTTCTAGCTCCTTCACAGCTGTGGAGATTTCCATGCTTGCAGGCCCTATTGCTTTTTATTTCTCACTTCAGTAAGTCATCCTCAAGTTCCCTTCTGTGCTCCTTTTAAATCCTTTTATCTACAAGGTCATGAACCTACAAAAGGGACTCTGTGTCCCCCAGTAACACTGTTAGATGAATTACTTTTACTATTACTATATTAAGTGGGCTTTCCCCCCCTCTATAACACTTAACTGACTTTCATCGGTTTAATTAACTAGCCATACTTGTGTATAAATTATTCTAAAACTTAATGGCTTATAACATGAAACATCGGCATTTTTCATAATTTCTGTGGTTTAGTAATAAGTTAATTAGTTTGGGTCTGGGGTCTCTCATGATAAGTATAAGATATTGGGACTTCTCAAAGGGTCACAATCAAACTGTTATGTAGCGTCTATAGTCACCTGACACCCGACAGAGATTGTTCTAATTTGCTTTCTATTACTGTGATAAAATACCTTGACCAAAAACAACTTATGGAGGAAAGGGTTTATTTCATCTTGCACTTTACATCATAGTCAGTCACTCAGGGAAGTAAGGGCAGAATCTCAAGACAAGAACCTGGAGGTAGGAACTGAAGCAAAGATCACAAGGGAACACCGCTTACTGACTTGCTTCTCTTGGCTTTCTCAGCTACATTTCTCTGTAAAAAATAGTTTATTTGGGGGCTGGAGAGATGGTTCAGTGGTTAAGAACATTGGTTGTTCTTGCAGAAGACCCGGGTTTGAATCCCAGCACCCACATGGTGGCTACACATACACATAAAATAGACTCATACACATAAAATAAAAATAATACTTTTTTTAAAGTTTATTTTATTTTTTATGTTGACATTTAAACAAGATGTCAGCTGAAAGACATTCCTGGTGCTATGTAACAAATATTTTTTAATTGAATTTTTTGTGCATTTTATACAGAATATCTCAAACAATGTGTATGAGTGTATTGCTGCATGTAAGTAGATGCACCCATGTCATGCAGTGCCAGCAGAGGTCTGAAGAGGGCGTCAGATCCCCTGGAACTGGAATGACAGTCATCTGTTAGCCACCATGTGGGTGTTGGGAATCAAAGCTGGATCCCGTGGAAGAGCATCCAGTGCTCTTAACAACTGAGCCATCCCTCCAGCCCTCAGCTACTTTTCTTATACAACAAGGTCCACCTTTTCAGGGATGACACTGCCCACAGTGAGCTGGGCCCTCCTATGTCAATTAATAATCAAGAATATGCTCCACACACATGCTCATAAGCAGTTTGATGGAGGAAGTTCCTCAATTGAGACTCACTTTTCCCAGGTGACTCTAGTTTGTGTCAAGTTGACAAAAATCAACACAGGGACTATGAGTTCATTTTTGTCATCCATTTTGTCCATCAAGTTAATGCTGGTTGTTGACAGAAGTCCTCAGTACCTCTCCACATGGGCCTTTTCATAGAGTTTTTATGGTATGCTGATTAACTCGCCATACATGAAGTTCCTAAGAGTCTCTGTGCAAGGAACTTAGCCTTGGAAGTCACACAGAGTATTACATACTAGAGTACACTACCAGTTACACAGGCCAATCCTAATTTAGTGATTCATTTTGTAGAAGACTACAAAAGTGTGTGCCTACTGGGAGACAGGGATCCCTGGAGCCATCTTGGATACTGACTGCCACAAGAGGGTTATTTGGGTTTTAGGAAAATGTAGAGACATAAATCAGTGGTAAACTTAGAAAGTCATATTTTTATGTGATTGACTAGGTTTTTTTTTAATAAGCCAAAAGCTATGGATATATATGTATATGGTTTTTTGAGACAGGGTCTCCCTGTAGCCCCAGCTGACCTGGAACTCGCCTTGTAGACCAGGCTGGCCTCGAACTCACAGAGATTCTCCTGTCTTTGCCTCCCAAGTGCTAGGATTAAAGGTATGTGCCACCACACCCAGCAAGCTATGGATATTTTTAAGGGGATAATTTTGTGTTGATTTTTCATTCTAAAACTGTTACAAAGTGAAAACATTGTGGGGTTTTTTTTTTCAGATTATTTAAGATATGTGACAATATACGTGGATGTGATTATGCTAATGACAGTGTAAATTTGGACTCTCACATTGGCTCAGCAATAATTACCCCAACAAAAATAAATAAAGGGAAGTCATGGAACAATACCAATAATAAGCAGACACTTCAATATTCTACAAGTAGGTTCATGCCAAATGATACTTTTTCTGCATCTGAAATTGGAGAAGACATATTCAAAGTACCATCCTTTTCAGTTATATCCAGACCTCATGACATTCAAGGTAATTTCTTGCCTATTTGGCTGCTTTTTATGAAAATACAAACTAATTTTCATTTCTTAGCACAAGGAAGAATACAAAATATAGTAAATTTGAGTAAGTTGTCTTGACATGTGCAGTTTATACATTTCTTTATTATGTTGCATTACTTTTTAGTCATATCCTAATAAATTTTATCTGTGCTTTCAGTAAAAAGCTTAAAGTTGTTTTAAAATATTTATTTTATTTTTTGTGCATAAGTTTTTGCCTGTAAGTATGTGTATCATGTGTATCACATGCATGTCTGATGCCCTCACAGGCTAGAAGGAGGCATTGGATCCCCTAGAACTGGAGTTATAAATGGTTGTGAGCCACCATGTGGGTGCTGGGAACTGGATCCAGGTCCTTTGCAAGAACAGCAAGTGGTTTTAACAGCTGAGCCATCCCTCCAACCACCATCCCAAGCAAAAGTATTATTGAAACTGTTTTATGGAAATGATTAAAAATATTCTATTCATTTTTCAGGCTTAACCAAAAATGACTTAAGTTTCTTGAAGGCTGTCACAGAAATTCGTATCCTTTAATTCATTTTACAACAGCTACTTTTATGTTTATGAAATCATATTTAAAATATTTTTTCATTGTATTCCTGTGTTTATTTTGGTTGACAAAGAAAAAGGTAGAAAAATAAACCTTTTAGGTTATGTGAGAGATACATATGGCAGTCAGTGTTGCTCCAAGTGTGATCTATAGACTGGGCCAGTTTGTGAATTGTTTTTAGTCTATGACAAACACAGAAATCAGATTTGTTATTTCGCCTTTTCTGGGATAACTTTTATGGATTTACTTACAGATAGATATAGATAATTTCTGTGGGGGGTAAAAATAGCTATATGAGGTTTAACCAAATAGGGAAAATTGAGGTTAAATGGGACATTTTACAAATCTAATGTTTTAGAAGGAACCTCACTTGGACTTTATAAATATAGTCCAATTTACATGCCTGAGCATTTCTAGTGTAAATATTTGAGTGTATTCTGGTGGTCATACCCTTTTTTCATTTTTAATGCCCTGTTCATTCCTATACCAATATGCTGAATCAATTTTATTGTAATTTATCAACTGTTTTGTGACTTATTTCTCCCATGGCCTAAGAATTCTTTGCCCATCTTACTCATCTTCTGATCTTCAACTACATTGGAAGGTAGATGAAGTAAGGCATATAAAACAGTGAAGCCATTTTGGTAGAGAAGTAGCCATGAACAAGGGTAAAGGTAGGTCTGTAAAGCTGAATATGTTCAGAAAGAACAAGCATTCCAGTTTGGCTGAAATCAAAGATATGATAGAAGTAGTAGGAAATAATTTTGGACAGATATCAGGATCAGATCATTTAATGCCACGAATATCAAGGTCAGAGGTTTTGAAATTTTTTTCCTCAGGGCTAGAGAGATGGCTCAGCAGTTAAGAGCACAGACTGCTCTTGCAGAGGACCTGGGTTTGATTCCCAGCATCCACATGGCAGCTAACAACTGTCTGTAATTCCAGTTCCAGGGGATCTGACACCCTCTTCTTACCTCTGTGGGCACTGCACGACATAGGTACACTTACACACATACAGGCAATACACTCATAAAATACTAAAATAATAAATAAAATTTAAAAAATTTTTCTCATAGCTATATTGTGTTGGGGGACTCTGCTGCTAAGGTTGCAGTCCACCATGTCTGGATAGCTCTATGGAGATCGGCGCTGAATGGAGGACTCCCTTTCTCACCAGGGGCTTCCTGCTCTCTTCCTGACCTTATTTGGAAAGTGTCTCCAAGCACAGATACCTGGCCTTATTTGGAACAAAACCATTGGCATACTTACCTGCAAAAACTGCCCCTGGGTTTTTTCTGTGTGATAATTAGGCATTGCACTATATCCAGATGATAGGGTCCTCCTACCACATGCAAATAAAGCATACTGTGAGCACCTATCAGGTGAAGCTTTGGCTGCCATCTTCACCCTATATTCTCCCTCAAGCCCCGCTGAATAAACGAGCTGTCTCACTGAAGCTGACTCCCAGAAGGTCTTTTCCGTCATACTCACGGGCCGTCCTGACCCTGCTTGCTGCCTCTGCTCCCTTTCTTCTTGTGAATTGGTGGCCAACGACCCACGAGGGAAGGGAGAGACCCACAGTATTAAAGTCTAATTAGCAGATAGACATGTACAGCTTTAAAGTAAGCAGTGTGATTTATTTATCTGCATACATTGTGAAGGTGATTACCAAAATCAAGCTAATTAACATATCTGTCACTTTACATAATTTCCTTGTGTGTGTACATGTGTATGTGTATGTGTGCATGTTGAGATCTGCTTTCTTGGGTTTATTTATTTACTTATTATTTATTTATTTATCTTTTCCAGACAAGGTCATACTATGTAGCCCAGGTTGTTCATGAATGCTAGATCCTTAAGCCTCAGCCTTTCAAGTATGGGCACCACTATACTCAACCTTTTTAAAATTATTATTATAGAACATTTTTCCCTTGAGAAAGTATCCCACTACATTGTCTAGGCTAGTCTTGAATGGGCTCAAGCTGTGCTCCTGCCCCATTCTCTCAAGCGGCTGAGACTACAGGCACATGCCGCTATGTCTTTGTTTTTATTTTTAATTATTAATCAATGAAGAAAAAACATTATACTTTTGAATGGTCAAATTACTTCATCAAAACTATGCTTTAATTAAAAGGAATTAGTGACTCAAGGCTGGGGAATGCTATAGAATCTACTAAAGTTATAGTCTTGTTGACAGAACACAAAGTGAATTTCAGGTAATGGGCAGTCAAGCTAGGGAAACCTGGGCAACACTGATTTCAATCCTTGGTACCATGTAGATCATTTGAGATAATTCTGAAGAACAGTTAAAACATGCTCGGGGAAGATGATGCTTCATTAGGTAAAGCACAAGGTTGGCATAGCAGCTGGGCTATAATCCCAGAGCTGGAGAGATGGGAACAGGAAATCCCCAGAGCAACGTGGCTAGCCAAACTAGCCTGAAAGGGTGAGCTCTGAGTTCAGGGAGAGAGAATGTGTTAATAGGTAAGGTGGAGAGATTAAGGATGATACCTGATATCAACTCATGTGCACATATGCACATGCATCAATAGAATGGAAACCTAGGAAATAGTTTAGCATTAGGCAGTTAAATATTGTCTAATTAGCTGTATGATGTAAAATGCTTTTGTTGGGAGCCCTTTCGGAGACTATTACAGAGTTCCACAACTGGTCACACACATACATAGTCTGTATATTGCCCAAGTCTAAGTGGTGCATCTATAGTGCAACCTCTACACCTAAGGCTCACAGAACATAGAACAAGGGGTAAAGAAGACAATAATGAATATCTCAGTTCTCATTAATGAAGCTCTCTAATGCAGCAGAGGGCCAGGAACACAAATGGCCAAAGTGTAGAGACTAAGAGTCTGCAGAATGCTGGTCCTTGAACAGGACTCCTATATTAAACTACAACACCGCCCCCCGCCCAGGGCTCAGAGACTTGTGGAAGAGGGGGTAGAAAAATTGAAAGAGCCAGGGAGGAAGTGCATGATCATATGGAAATAGAGTCCTACAAGCTCCTGGGACCCTGTTCATATGAACCTACAGCAATGGTGTCAGCATGCACAGGACCAATGCAAACTCAAGCAGACAAAAACCCAGCATAGAACTGGGGAAATGGACAGCTGACCCCAATCTTAGTCAAAGAATTATTGGCAGCTGATTACTGCTGGATGAGGAAGAGATGATTTCCTAAAGCGAGAGACTAGATAGTCTGACTAGACCTCGGTGGATGAACTTGCACTGAGGGACATCTGGAAGTTTTGTCAGACTGCTTCTGCCACAGTATTGCCATTTTCAGTTCTGCAGACATTTTCCAATTACACAGCATATAATTCTAGCACTGCTAGAAGTTTATTGAACAGAAGGAAAGATTTGATTTTGAATGTTCTTAGAGATGATAGATAACATATTTAATGGTTGAGGTTATGCACTAGGAGACTGATTCTGCATCTACTCTGAATCAAAGATTCATTTTATGAATATAAATTGATGTAGAGCTATCTAATGAGAGTAAAAACAGCATGATAGTTCACTTCTAGGCTTGTTACAAATAAATATTTTATATGGAAAAACATATCTTGAGGGAAAATGAGATTCCTTCAAAAACTGATGAACTGACAAACTAAAATTTTGGTTTTGTTTTGACACAAATATTGTGACATGCTGAAAGTAAAATGAAGATTTTTAAATTAATCACATGGTTTAATAAGTACAAACCTATATTAACTGAGGTACTGTTCTAGGTATTTGGATTATGTCAGTTAAGAAAAAGAGACAGCAAATCCTTGCCCTCGAGTCACTATTCTTGCAATAAAGATAGGGAAGAGGGTAGATCTGAACAATTGTAATAGTAAATAAGTCGTGGTATTTTAGAAGATCCTGAGTACTATGGGAAAACAAAATGTAGAGCTGAGGAGAATGAAATTGGGACTGCTGGAATTGAAGATTCAAGATACAGAATTTAATAAAATAAATAGGTCAGGCCATCTTGACAAGGTGAGATGTAAGCAAGAGGGTGAATGAGCTAAGGAAATTTGGAGGGAAGAATAAAGCATCTACACAGATAAAAATATCATGGCAAGTACATGGCTGATGTTTTGGATAGCAGAGTCTATTATAACTAGAGATGAGTCTGAGGTTAAAGAAACAGAGGAGCTGAAGTCGGAGTGACCAATGGCAAGTGAAGGGTTGAAGGGAGAGACGGTGAGAAGATAAAATCAAGGACCAGATAGCCATTTTCTTGGAGGGAAAGGGAAAATTTTAAAAATATTTATGTGTATGAGTATTTTGCCTGCATGGATGTGTGCAATGCTTGTGGAGGCCAGAAGAGGGCGTCAGACCCCCTGGAACTGGAGTTATGAATGGTTGTTAACTACCATGTAGGTGCTGGGAACTGAACTTAGGTCCTCTGCAAGAATAGCCAGTGCTCTTAACTGTTGAGCCATCTCTCCAGCCCCTGAGAGGGAAATTTAAGCAGAGAATTCATATAATCTGATTTAAGTTTTAAAAAGTGCTGGGTGTCGTGGCACATGCCTTTAATCCCAGCACTTGGTGGGCAGAGGCAGGTGGATCTCTGTAAGTTTGAGACTGGCCTGATCTACATAGCAAGTTCCAGGCCAGCTGGGGCTACAGGGAGACCCTGCCTCAAAAAGACAAAAAAAAAAATTTTTTTTTAAAGCATCACTACAAATAATATACGAGTTTGTATATATCTTATAAAAATGCAGTGTTTGGACAACTGTCTTTGTGTTTTCAGATGTATTATCTCTTATATCTAATAAGCTTTAAATTTTTAAATTTATTTTTATTTATGTGTATGTGTGTGTATGTGCCTGCTTGTCTGTATGTGCCCACAGAGGCCAACAGAAGACATAGGACCCCCTGGAACTGAAGTTACAGGCCCTGTGCAAGGCATTAAGTGCTGTTAACAGCTCAACTATCTCTCCAACCCCCTAATAAATTCTAAAAGCCTCAAATACAGGAACTCCCCCTTTCTTGTAGTTTTCTAAATCTAGTAATGCATTTTGCATATAGTGTTTAATAAATGTAGTTGACCAATCACAACTTTGTAAGAAGAGTGCCATTAAAATATTGTTCAGGTTGACAGTAGACTCTCACCTTGGAGAGAGGCCAATTACTCTTTTTGGTCTTTTTGAGGCAGGGTCTCACTGTAGCCCCAGCTGGTCTGGAACTCGCTATGTAGACCAGGCTGGCCTCAAACTTACAGAGATTCAACCACCTCTGCCTCCCAAGTGCTGGGATTAAAGGCATGTATCACCATGCCCCCACTAAATTACTCTTTATATTTATTAATATGTTTTAAACTTTCTAACAAGGCAAGTGTGAATCAAATTCATTTTGTTGAACAAGTATACTGATTATTACAATTAAAATCCAACAGTTAACACAAGTAAGCTATCAAAATGAATTTATGACCAACTGACCAGGTATATCCCTCAACTAATGAAACAGAATTAGCAATCAGTCATTAATAAGTGAAAATTTGAACATTAAAGAAAATATTTTTAAAAAACCAAGTGTTCTGGTCAAGATGAATAAGAAAAAGCAGTATTTTGGAAAACAAACTAAAAACATAGTTCTGATAGGCATGCGTTCATATATATAGACCTCTTCCATCATATCTAACTCTCAACTTATAACCTTTATATGATCTTTTGTGTCTCAGGTTCTTTTTAGAATATGGGATGTGACAGGAGCCTAGAATAATTTCCAATAATTCTTAAGATGCCAAAATAGCAAATGTTAAAACCTTATGTGAAAGCCATTATCATTGAAACAGAATTTTTAAATAAAAAGTAACCATTTCTTTAAAATTCTGAAGTATTTGACTCCTTAATATTATTTTAAGCAACAAAGTTTAGAAGTATATTTAAAGAATTCCCTTACTTCAACTATATACAATCCAAAGCCTTTGATGATGTAAGTATCTTGTATTTATTTACTCATCTTCCTCTTCTCACTAATTGTGTGCTCTCTAAGGAGAGGGAGTAGTCAGTATCACATTCAATTACTAGTACATTTTAGGAACTTAGAAAATGTTTGTTAGATGAGTACATGTGATTCATATCAGTGGATTGACTTGTATTTATTAATTTATAAGAATTTCTCTGAAAGATTAAAGAATAAATTTCTTCTAGGTCTAGTATTTAATTTTGACAAAATAGTATGATAAAATATTTTTAGGAGTTGAAGAGTCTAGAGCAGGATTACAGCTATAGTCATTGCAGAGGTAAACAGGTTTGGAGCATTATTCCTTGGTCTTCCTAAAGCATATTTTCTAGCAAGTTAAGAATTATGTTAAACATTCTTTATATTATGTAGTCAATTAAGTGTTATTTTTTTAGCCTCTTTACACATATAGGAATTTTGTGATTTGTGCTCCAACTGGTTCTGGGAAAACTGTACTGTTTGAACTAGCCATAACAAGATTGTTAATGGAAGTACCGTTGCCATGGTTAAACATGAAAATTGTTTACAGTAAGTACATATTATAAAATGATGATTATAATAAAAGTTTGAAGCAAAAATGAAGCCAATTTAATTCAGGACATAGAAATTATTACTTGGCATCTCATACATTTTAAAACTTTTTATCAATTTATTTGCAGTGCTGTGACTAAACCTGTACATAGGCTGTCTCCCACTAAGCACTACTAGCCTTAACAAATTCTCCCTTTTTTATTTATATATGTGTGTGTGGTGCTCAAGATTGAGCTTAGGGCCTTACACATGCTAAG